AAAAAAAAAAAAAAAAAAAAAACACGGAATGCTTAAAAACAGGACGTGAACTTTTGGTATGAATCAGAAGTGACGTTATTTCAATTCAAATCTTTTCATCTAAAATGACTCAAAACTCAAATAGATGACCGTCACGACTCAATTACTAAAGGAAAATTATGACGTACGGGTGCAAGCCACTACTAATTTGATGTGGAGAGCATATATTTTAAATTAAATAAATTAAGAAACATGATAAAAAAAAGTTACAGCCGACATTGCGACGACGTCACAATAAATGTCTGTTCGTTGTTTTTATTATTAATCGCTTAAATTTAACAATCCTTTACTAAAATAAAACTGATGCTGTTGAAAAAATGAAAACTGATACACACATTCTACATTTTCCATTTATTTTACATTTTGAGTAAATTGATGGAAATTTTAAAATTAAATAAATCATTTTTGAAACTTTTAAATATGATTTTAGGTAATTGATTAACACAAGTTACTTAGTATCATCTGATTTTATTTAAGCACTTAACGTTACGTGCAATGTTTATCAATAGAGAGGTTGCGGCCGACGTTCTCAACGCGAAAACGTGTACGTCGGACGTTCAGCGCCGCCTTCTTGTGAGTCTAGAAGTTTGACAATGGCGTTTGTAACCTCGAGCATGATTCCACAGACGTTCCAAACGTCATTGGCAAACTTCTAGGCTCACAGAAAAGCGGCGATGAACGTCCGACGTACACGTTTCGCGTTGAAAACGTCGGCCGCAACCTCTCTAATAACACAAAACAAACGGAATTTGTTGATTAGGTCAATTAACGTTCGATACAGAAGGGAAAAGATTTAACGTTTGACAGGAAATCAACTCGGTAAGTGCTCGTTTTCTATAAAGTAATTTTCTTAAAAATAAATATTTATCGACCTCTGAAGTTTGTTTGGTCATAAGAAAAAATTAAACTGCGACTTACTGTAGAACTGTTCAAGCTAAACTGCCCAGCAAACTGAGACATCTTCTGTCCACTTTCTACTTTTTCTGTTATACTTTTGAAAATAAAAACCGACGAGAAGCTTAACGGTTGCCCGACTGACAGACTCGTGAATACTATGAAAAAAGTGTGTCTGTAAAAAAGAAATAAGACTGGAATTGCAAGGGAGAGTTTCAAAGTTCCGAGGAATACTATCCAATCAGAATATAACGGGTTGATCGTCGTTGTTGACGTCTCGCGCGCTTTGAAAGGTTTTAAACTGTTACCTGAAAACAAGGGGAAAATCAATCTGTATCAGTAATTTTCCGTCCGATCATAAAAAACTTTCGCGAAAGTGTTCGTTATCCGATTTGTTCGCTATCCTAACTGTTCGTTAACAGATTACTCATTATTCTTACATTGACATTTCATTTGGAAATTCACATGTTTAAGCATTATATTTATTAATTTTTCATATCTTATACTATAGACTATCAGAAGGTCTATAGATAAATTAACTACTTCTTCGCTTCGATAGCTTCGATGGAGAATTACATACTTTAACGTACAGTACACGCATGTATATTTTTACGCTTATAATCCAAAAAAATGAGCGACTGGCAAAATGAGATCACATTTCTATGAAGCATCTGTTCATTAACTTTTTCACACCTTCATGTGCAGGCACACTTTTGTTTCGAACACACTCGTGCCTTTTCAAGCACCCTTCTTCACATTCCCATTTTCACTTAACACATTCCATTTTTTTCAGATATTTATTCATTTGTTTAAACCAAGTCTTTCTCGGCTTTCCCTAACCACGATTCCCATCCACCTTTATCATATATGCTTTCTTCAACAGTTATTCTCCTTTTGTTCACTCAATGTGGCAAAATCATCGTAGAGTCAATTTACTTACTTCTTGGTATGTTGACTTCATCCAACATTTTTCCAACACTTGTTTATTCTCACATAGTCTCTTTTTGTTATTTCACGCACATTTCTCAAATAATTAATTAAATACAGTATTACGACTCGTATGGCGTTTTCCAATAAACGTTGTGACGGTTAAAATATGATGTAAAATATGGTATAAAAATTATTGCAGTTTGATAAGGATTTTTTGTTCTTGGGAATAAATGTACTGCACACTATTATAGCAGTGGTAAATTTCACGGTAGGAGACAAACACTGCTTGTCAGAAATACCCGATAGTCACATTACGTAATTACGGTATATATTATATAGAATAAATACTGTAATTATCACTGTTTTATATGGCAAATATAACTATTAATTTATTTGTTTCTTATATATTAACATCATAAACAATTGGTTTTTTCTGTTAAAAATAAATGCATAGGTAGACACTAGGCATCTTTAACATTACCCTATATTCAAAAATTTCTTTTGGTCCAATACACGTTTCGGGTATACGCGCTTCTACTGTCGGCTTTTCTTCTGATATATCTTGTTAGGAGGTTCTAATTTATATAAGCTAAATCTTGCTTAAAAATTACATATATTTACAGTTAAAAATTTGTACACTTAAACTTTTTTGGCATAATACTGAATGGCACTTAGCTAATACTTGTAATGCCCGAATGTACAAGGTTTTCCTTCGTTGTAGCAGAAAAAACCAGGGCTGTGGAATCGGAGTCGGACTCGGAGTCGAAGTCGTGGAGTTTGGTGTTTCAATCGGAGTCGGAGTCGTAAAAATATTCGCCGACTCCGATTTCTTTTTACGTCTTAACTTGTAATGTACAGTAGACCCCCTATAACGCGGGTTCAAATAACGTAGATTCCTATGACGCGGCGAAAAAATTGCGTCAATATTTGTACAAAGACGCTAAAAGGGACGCGTAAAACGCGGTAAAACGTCATCGCCAACTCGTCATCGCTGACGAGCAGCCGAACTACTTTCCGCCGTCTAGCGCCACGCTACGGAGATTTTACGCTAACTATCGTCTGTACAGTATGTAAATTAGGTACGATAAGTCTAATACAGCACTGTAATTTTATACATTTCTTGTGAAAGAAACATTTCTTATTCAACGGCGATTAAAATTATTTATATTAATGATGTCTCCAAAGTTCAACAAAGTTTTCGCCGAAAAATAACATCTGAAATCGCGGCCGTCATTTCGTGCGCTGCTCCGAGACGAAAACAAGCTTGAGCAACGACGATGTCAATGGTGCACACTCGGTAAGTAATCCTACAAGTTTTTGTTTATAGCGTAGTTTATACGGATTATTTCCAAAAAATATATACGTATTTTGGAAATGTTAAGTCGAATTAGTTTAGAATCGATTAATTTTATGGAAGAAAACCTTTCAAACAGCCGTAGTCAGTAAACTTCACACGTGTCAAATACGAGAGCCAATCACAGCCCAAGGTTTTCTACAACGCGAAATTTGTATAACGAGGAACGTATTTTCGCGTTATAGGGGATCTACTGTATATGAAACGGAAAAGTATTGGAATCGTGTCAAATTTGACCCTCCAAGTTTTTCTGCAAATCTACACGTTTGCAGATCTTCCGAACCCCTAAATAAAGTCAATAAAAAAGGAAAAATTCACGCGAGTGTGTGTGTTAGCGTCTAATTTGTTTAATTTCTTTATTTTCTGTTCAGAGATATTAAACAATATCTCAGAATAAGTAAAGTTTAAGAGACGAAATAAGGCACTGTAGCTTGCGTATAAAGGGGTATTAATACTATTAATACCCCTTTATACGCAAGCTACAGTGCCTTATTTCGTCTCTTAAACTTTTCAGTGCCTTATTTCGTCTCTCTACTACCTATTATTAAATTTTTGTTCTTAATTAAAGGACGACTGTGTAAAGATATAAAAGTGGTCATGTGTCATATCTCTAAAAAATATTTTACTGGTTATTAGCGTTTAAAATTAAAAAAATAATAATAAAATAAAACTCGTTTCTACCCTATAAGTAAGCTATTTTGTCATTTTATAATAGTACAGTAAAACCCGTTAAGATGTTATCACCTAAGATGTTAGAATGTGTATGGGGACATGATTTAGTTTATCCAATTTGAGGCTTAATTAAATTTTGTGTTTAAGCCCTTTTATTGAATTTTTTATTCTGAGGTCACGTGATGACATCAGAATTTCTGGGTCTCTTTCGGTAACAAGACCGCCCCTGGTCGGAGTCGGAGTCGGAGTCGGAATCAGAGTTGGAGTCGGTACGTTTTTACGCAACTCTACAGACCTGGAGAAAAACAAATTAAAAAAGATACGGGTTTAGAATAAACAAAGATAAACAATTATTTAACTCCTATGAATGTAGTACCCTAAGATTTTATTTGCCCATCAGAGGTTAAATTGGGTTATATTTACAGTCTCTGTGTATATTAAAAAACATAACAGTTAGGAAAATTATAAAAAGATTTATACATATGTAGGTAGTACGAACCAAGTTTACAACAAATCATATAAGTATACAAAAGCAGCAATAAAAGTCAAGCAGAACGTTATGTCGCTAGCGTGACATGTGACATTATTATAATAAATCATATACTAAATATACTTAAAGTTATTTAATTAACATAGTCTCATCTCATCAACGTATATAATGTTAATATAATTTCCAATGTTTATCACACAACAAAACTTTTTGAATTCGTGTCTGTCTTCATTTCCGTAATGTTTTCATTGGAAGTTACTGTTTCTTGCGATGGCCTGTTTCTTAGCACGAGGGACAGAAGACTTCTCAATGGGGATTCAAAAAACACAAAGTAGAACAGAGCAGCAATCAGTGACAAGAACATAACAAAGGAATATATCATCCACTGTAAAAAAAAAATAAATGTAATCAATTATGAATAACTTCTCAAGAGTGAAATCGCAAGCCCATAAAGAAAGCATTTTAATCGAGCAACAAAAATTGCAATGTTTTGCTGTTCAATTAAAGTAGGCTTGGCATTGATGCGAAAAAATTTTGGAGATATTCTAAATTTTATTGCTAAATTAGAGTCACCCAATATAAGCGTTAGGCTTATCTGAATGCTTGTAGTGGTGCACTTAGTACCCTGGTTATCACTCGGAGCCATAACTTTGGGAAGGGAACTTGGGAAGCTGAGGATGTGGCGGCATTCGCGTAAGTTAAAATAGGTGGCACTGACCCGAGATCTGGATGGCTCCTAGGCAATATAAATGTTGCTGTAATAAACGATCTCATGGGTAAATGACCTGGCAAAAACTTCGTTTCACGTTAGGTTAAGTTAAGTTAGAGTAAGAATCTTTACATTGATTACAATAAAACTAATAATATTAATAACATAATAATTTATAGTATTAACTATATTTTTACTATACGATAAGTGATCATTGTTAATGAAAAATTGTTAACAATTTATAATAACTATTACATTTTTTTTATTTGTTTGTCGAAACCGTGTCTTCTTGTTTTGTTTGGTTCAATGTCACGACTTGATGAATTTATTGACAACTGAATTTATTATCGTCAAATATAGAGATAGAATAGCAAAATTACAAACCTACTTTGAAGCAAATGGCATGGATATCATAAAGGCAGATAAATCAAAACAGATTATCACAGTGAAACAAGAATGGATCCAAACAAAAAAATCAAAAATAGTTAATAAATGGTATTTTAAAGAACTACCAATAGACCTAAAACAAGTCATTTATGTTGAAGTCAAAAAAGGAATAAATAAGCAAATTGAATTAAAGAACACAATAAAAGAAGATAAACAGTATATTTTAGCAAACGAAAATAGAGGAACCCCTAAGCTAAACATACAACTAAAAACATAAACCAGGCGAACAAATAAGACCCATTGTCCACTTCAAAAATTCAGTGCTACATAATTTAGAAAAATACTTAAAACGAAAATTACAAAAGTATAACTATTCGGGATACTCCATCAAACACGCAGACGAACGTATACACGGCATGGAAAATAGAAAAATGAGCAATAATTACAGACTTGCAAACCTAGATATAGTAAACATGTACCCTATGATAACCTGGAATGTAATAGAAAGCACACTAAAAAAGATTGAAACAGAAGAAAAAGAATTTGACTTAATAGAATCCGTATACAGAAGTAATTATTAAGAAGTCAACAATAAGTTATAAAACAACAAACAGGCATAAACATGGGATTGGTCATAGGCCCGAAGCTAGCAAAACTTCTTATGGTAGATATAGTTCAAGCAATCAAAAAAATTACAGGCATAAAGTTCTATAAACGATATGAGGATGACATAGTTATACTATATTACCAAGAAATAATAAATTTAGAAGAAATAGAAGAAAAAATATGCAAATTAAACGATAATAATAAATTCGAGGTAGAAAATGAGGCAAACACGGAAATAAATTACCTCGACATTAAAATAACCAGAAAGGCAAACAAGATTAAATTCGAGCCATACACAAAACCATGCGAGATTAGGAGTGTTAAAATACAATTCAAACATTCCACAGTACATAAAAGAAAACATATTCATTATGGAGTATAAAAAAATCGAGAGCAGAACAAACTCACTACAGAAGAAGAAAAAACAGAGTAAGATACATATCCTTCCCCTACATACGTGACTTCTTTGAACAGATAAATAAAAGTTTCCATAAAATAAATATAAAACTAGCCCCAACTTATAACAACTTGCAAAAAAAATCCGGAAGGCTGAACCTGGCATAAATAAACAACCGGACAAATACAACACTACAGAAGTCGTTTATAAAATACCTTGCACTTGCGAACCACCAAAGGTATACATTGGAGAAACAAAACGAAAATTAGAAACAAAATTAAAAGAACACATCCCGGATTTGAAATGTAATAGAATCAATTCTGTTTTTTACGAACATTGCACGACTCACAACTGCAAAATAGATAAGAATGAGTTAAAATAGTACACAAAGTAAAAAATTGATACAAAAGAAAATTTAAGGAAAGCTACGAAATTACTACAGACAAAAATAATATTAACAAGAATCTGTGAGGATCCGAATTCGGATGTGTTTATATCATTTCATTATAAGATGACATCGTAGTCATACTTTCATTCCACGGTGTCATAAGATCACAGTGTAGCTATACTTTCGTTCAACAACTATCAACTGTTACACCTGGGAGTTAAACATCTGTTAAATTCTCAGGCCTAATAAAGACGCTTTCTCATCACCTTTCGACCTAATATCGCGATTTTAACAATTCAACATTAGACAAGAACAACAAAGTGAATCAGTCGTCGCCAGTTCTTCCATCGGATTACTTCTACGTAATATCTGTGCTCATTTGGATACCTCTTCGCTTTTGATATCAAGAATCGTTTAATATCAAGAATCGCCTAATATCGAAGGAACTATTGGACTTAACACTACCTTCCCGAACTTTCTTTCTTAACGACTGGATCCAGATCAAGATATCAAAAAGGTATTTATCGCCACGCGTATGAATTGTAAACTCTCTCTCTCGCGAATGCTCAGTTAACTTTACTATCGAACTTAACTATCAACATATTGTAAGAGATGTATTCCCTATCATTACCTATTAAACATTTGTTATGTTAAAAAGCGACTGAGTAATTCACTTCCGGTGCGCTGTCTCTCCTTACATCCCGACTCTGATCGCTCCGTTACGCGACCGCTCGCTTGACCTAAATAACGCGGCTTCCGTGTCCGTCGAGACGCGGTGGTGTCATCCTGACAGGGCACCAAAGAGGTGCCGACCCTTTGGTCACAAATCTAAGAATTGAAATTCATAAAAACCGGCTACAACTATTAAAATAGAATGTTTATACAGTCGCAGGCGAGGCTGTGTGCGGCACTCTGGAAGTGAAACTTTATAATTTACGAGGCATGCAGGGGAGGTCGTCATGTCGGTAGGGAAGGGAAGGGAAGTAGGAAGTATTGAAGGTGCCTGACATATACTGTATAGGCAAGATACAACCTATCTATGTAACAGACTGAAGAGGAGCGAAAGCCCGAAACGCGTATCTGTATGGAGTAAAAATGAATAATGAAATTATTTGCTAAATGTCAATAAATTCACCAAGTCGTGGCATTGAATTAAACAAAAATTAAATTTTTGTTCGCCCTTGACACTTGTGCATGGCCGTGCGGTAGATTTTCTCAGTATGATGCAAGTCTTCGAAATGCCGTCCCTTAAATCTTTTTTTTTAAATAACCTTTGATTGTGATTTCTTTTAAACTGCACAAAATGTACGAATACTGTTTTTATTTTGAAAATATAAATTGATATAAAATATTGATCTCGACTATCAACTAATCTACTACAGTTTTACTCTTCTATCTTTAACTGTAGCAAATTCGTTAATTAGGAATGTGTAGTTTAGAGTGGCAGTTAATGTAGATTCAATAGAAATGATAGATTTCTAAGTTTTGTTTGGAGTATTGAACTTCTTAAGTAGTGTTTTATTAATTTTAATTTGGAGAAACTTCTTTTCCCACTAGCTACAGAGACAAAAAGGGTTAAAAAAATTCTCAGAGCTACAACAGTATTTGGATAAAAAGTAATTAAGTTATTTTGGCACTAATTATTTAAAACATCCGAAGGTTTCATAGAATATGCTAGCATTCGGGATATATCACGCAATTCTTTTTGAAGATCATTTGCATTTACTGTATATTTAATTCATTTTCGAAAAAAAGTATTGACTGGAGACTAGTACAATAATTTCCTAGCGTTTCTTCATCTAAGTCAGTGATTCTCAAACTTTTTTGATCCACCGCCCCCTTTGTTCCATAAAGTTATACCCAACGCCCCCTAACCCATTTTCTCTTGTGTGAGAAAAGGATTGGAAATATTCTTAGGAAAACTTTTCTATGAATCTCACACTTTGTGCCCTTACTGTACATTGTTCTCATCATCTGGAAACCATTAAACGCAATGTTTCCTCTTATCTGCCCCAATTTTGCCTTTGGTCACCGTTCAATACCTTGCCTCCAGCGCCCCCTAGATCTATTCATCACCCAGAAGGGGGCATTATTGCTTAATTTTGAGAAACGCTGAGCTAAAATAAAAGTCAATGTGTTAGAAATATTCAAGTTGTGACCTTCAATAAAAAATAAAAAATATATAAAATGTCAACATTTTATATATATTCCGTCAAATTTTTATATATAGAATTTGTCTGCCGTCGCCCCTCTATATTTCCTTAACGCCCCCCAATTCTCTTTGAGCCTTCTACCCCCCTGAAAGCCTCCAGTGCCCACAAGGGGGCGTTATCGCCCACTTTGAGAAACGCTGATCTAAGTCCTTGAGTTTTAAAATGTCATATAAAAACTGAAAATATTTGCTATGGGTTTCCAGAAGCGTGAATCGTTCATTCAGAGAATTAACGGTAATGTCAAGAATATAATTGAAAAAGTTTATTTTAAATTTACTCTCTTATTGTTAAGGGTTCGTTGACAGCTTTTTCGTAGTCAAATTGATGCTTTTTCCTTCTGGCTCTGACTTCAGTTTCCGCTGGAAATTCTGTACTGCATTCAAAATTCTCTGCAATATCATTAGCAGCAATTTTCATCTGATCATGTCCAGATTGTCTATAACTTTTCACTTTTTGTATGATAACACCCTTACACTATCTGTCAAATTTATAGTTACAGATTCTAGACTAAATTTAGTTTAAATAAAATATGACGCCAAAGAACTACATCACATATAAAATTTGTACAGTAAACCCCCTATAACACTAGATAATTCTGTGTTATATGAATTCCATGTTGTACGACTCACTTAGATTTTACAAATACGTGAGCCGTTTACAGCCCGGCACACGTATTTGTAAAATCTAAGTCACTGGTACAACATGGAATTTATATAACACGGAATTATCTACAGTGTTATAGGGGATCTACTGTAATTTTTAATATTTTTTGCTAACCCTCTTGCTTTAACTTTAATTTCTGCATCTCTGTTGACGTCTTCTATTATTTGGAATAATGCATCATAGATTTCGCAAAGTTGAAATCGCTGCTTGACCACCTAGTAGCACTCAATTGTTTTACAGTTAACTGTGAAACATTTTTTAGCACTTCCCAACGCTTTGTCGATCCAGAAAAAAAGTGTAAAGTTCATGTACAATAAAAAAAATTATTGTTTCTGTAGAAGAAGACACCATTCACAACTAGGTTAAAAGAATGACGCGAGCAGGGCTTATTAAACGCCCTTGGATATTTTTCAAATATTCTATTTTGTACTGTACACCCTTTCTAACTCTTTTCATATTAGCTCCGTTGTCATAGCCTTGTCCTCTAAGCCACTTTAACTCGAAACCTAACTTTTCCAAATGTGTCAGAATAAATTCTGTCAAACCCTCTCCACTTGAATTATAAGCTGCAAAATAACCAATAAAAAATTTTTCGATTTCATATGAATTTTGAATGGAGTTAAAAGCGACAACTGTTATTGTTAATGAGAGCTGTTGAATTTGACTTACGTCTGGGGCACAATCGGCGATTATCGAAAAATATTTAGCGATTTTTGTTATTTCGACAATTTTGCTTATAATTTCATTTTCCATCAAATTTATCAATTCATCTTGTATATTATTGCTTATAAGGAGATCCTTTGGCTTTGGGGTAACGGATTTTGATGATCTTTGGTGTAGAGGTAGTACACCATGTGAGTGTATTACCTGTAAAATACTAAAGTGCAACATTCAAATATAATCGAGAAAAACGAACTCAAAGTTTTTTGAGCACTTTATATATAAATTATACATACTTCTATTTGAGCGTCCTGTGGCAGAGTAGTAACGATTCTGTTTTATAAGCTTGAATTCTCGAGTTCGATTCTTTCGTATAACTTTTTTTTAATTCATAAATACTTATAATGTATTTATTTATTTACTCATTTATTTATTTATTATTATTTATTTATTTTAATTTAATTTCTACTATTCCAAGTCTAATATTTTTTTACTTTTGTTGACAATAACGGCGCATTCTTTACACCTATGTGTCAACTTTCCCATCTAATTGTTATCAGTAACGGTGACCGATCTAATTCTCACTAGGAGCGTTTATTCTATCGGAGTTCTTTTTAACTCCCTCTTTAGCAGTTCGTTTCTGAATTTCGACACAAATAGACGTATTTGTGCAGTGAAATTTATTTTGAATAATTATTTTATAATTAAAAAAATGTCATCAAGAGAAGCAAGTTCTTCACGTTGTGACGAAAAAACTGTTGATGATAACTCTTTATACAGTGATGTATCGAAGCAGCGGCTAAAAGATGAAGTAGTGTATTATGAGAGTTTACTTTTCGAAAATAATTTAATTGCAATAACATTTGATACACTATCTGAAAATGCTATGCTAATAGACAGAGAATTATACAATAATAGATTGAATGTGTTAAAAGAAAAAAATTTATAAATGTTGCAATTAAATTATTTGTGCTTTCAGTATTAGGGACTATTAGAGATTTGTGTATTTTTAACTTTCAAGTACTGTACATATTGTTTGCCTGTGTTTACCCATTTTTTACCCTTATACAAATCTTTATGCCTATATGTCCTAGTTCTAAGAATGACTAAAATTAACACGGGAATCGAAGTGCACCTTCCACATTTTTAAAGTCAGATATGCAAATGTACTCCGTAACATGAAAATTTTCAACTTTACCATATTAAACTGTAAAAGACCTGTAGCCTTTCTCATACTGCCAGCACCATAACAGATAATTAGACCGTGAAGCAGATATATCCAGACATTCAGACTGTTTAACACCACAAAAATGCGAAGAGATAACAAACGATTGACGGTTCCTGAAAATAAACAAAAAAAAAGTTAACATTTTTATAACGTGACGATTAAACTTTAAAAACGTACTGTACGTTTATAATACGTTTATATATACGTTTATATATACGTTTAAAACATAATGTACGTTTATAAACGTAATGTATGTTACGTAATGTAAAAAAAAAACGTAAATGTACACAAAATACTGTTTACGGTAAAGTGATTATTTAATCTTTTCCGAGTGGAAAATAAATAAAAATTTTTAAAAAATACGGATTATTTCGGAAAATAAAGAAAATCGAATTATTTTAGTCACAACAAAAGATTTAACTGAACTACGTACAACTTTTAGAGTATTCATTTTAATTAACTGCGAATATCCAGTATAACTGTATCGGTAAAGTAAGTGAACTTTTTCATGTAATATAATATACATTGGACAATATAAATACACTTTACGATATGAAACTAATAATTATCTAAACAACTTTAATTAATTCAGTTACCGTATTTATTTTCCCAAATATAGCACATAAGCTATGTATGATTTAGCGAATTGTATTTTACTTCAGCTAAAGCCTTAAACTAAGTTCACAAACGCAATTAAAAATATTATAAATGTTAATATAAATTGCTAATATTCTAATTTACAGTAGATTAAACGGACAACAGAAAAAGCGCCGTATATATATTTATTCCTATCTATATTTAGATGAAAAAATCGACTGTAAACACTAGATAATGAGGACTTTCTTACCACCGTGTCCTGTCACACAAGCCACTGTCAACCAAGCTAATCCTACGGTCCAAGCAAATGGAGAAATGCACTGAAAGGCGATGATTATATTTTCGTTGGCCATAATATTTTTCTTGTAACTATGCGCTCCAAAAATAGATAATGTCATTAAGACAATGCATCCGGTCCAACAAAGTAAAAGGGTAATCTAAGAATTTAAACGGAAAATTTTTAAACGGACTACGTAAAAAGTTTAAGTTTAGTTTTCGTGATATTACTTTCTGTAAATAAAAAATAAATGTTTAGAAATTTAAGAAGAAAAAGTCTAAAATGAAAATTTTGATATTTACTAACATCACGAGTAACATTCCCGTCAACAGCAATGTATGGCGTTAGGAGCCTGCACTTAATTAAATATTATAAATTTATTGACTGTAAATCTGTCTGTTCTCTTCTATGCCATGAATTATTATACAATGATTTATTCTATTTGTAAGATTTTACTATACGTTATGGAAAATGTGTAAATATTTGAATTGATTACGTAAAAAAAGACGTTATATACACAAAACAAGGAAAAAAGTACAAATAATCCTCGTTATATTACGATTGTAAACGTTCCAGAAAATTGATCAAATTGAAGATAGTTCGTTTGATTCTCGGCAATTCTCTTCAGCGGTAGGTGTTATATGACAATTACTATGGTTATTGAAATATTGAATGTAAATTGGGTTTTCTTGCAAAACCTTCGCGGACGAAGTTGCGGGTAACAGCTAGTAAATAAATATAAACAAACAACGCCAACCCGATAACATTAAATCTAAATACCAAAATGATTAATTTACAGTGTTTTTGTTATTTCTTCTTCCCGTTTTTAAGTATTCGTTATTCGGCCGAATAGCGAAAAGTAAACCAAATACCGAATAGTAACCGAATATTCGTTACATCACTAGTTAGAATGTATATGGAGACACAATTTAGTTCAACCACTTTAACGCTTAATAACTAACTCCTGTGTTAAACCATCTGACTCCGATTCTGACCACTCTGACCACAGAAACTATTAGGCTTCAAACAGAATAAACAAAATCATGCCCCCCACACAGTCTAACATCTACACATATAGAAAAAACCTCGAATCTTTTGCATATCTAGAAATTTTACGGTGTCCTAAGTCCAAAAATGTAAAAATTTGGGAGGGGTCATTTTTAGAGCGAGCGATACACTTTTCCTCTGTTGTATATAACAGCCAGAAAAGTAAAAATTATTGAATACACATATATATATTACTTAGAGAAGTCTTTGAGCTTTGGAATAAAAAGTTTATACGCTCTATCTTTATTAGAACTCTATTTATTAAATCTTTTATTCTGAGGTCACGTAATGACATCAAAATTTTTAGGTCTCTTTCGGTAACAAATCCGCTCCTGGTCAGAGTCGGAGTTTATTGTCGGTAGATTTTTACTGGACTCCACAGCCCTGTTCCGGAAAATCGGATGTCAAATTATTTCAATTCATAACTTTTTCCTCGAAAAGAGTGAGAAAGATGACAAGCAAAAATCTATTGTTAAAGAGAATGTACGTTGTATGAGGGCCAACCACTAGTAGACTGAGATATTCAAAATAACAAGCTCCGTTGAATATTACATAGTTTAAATTAAATACATTAAAAACAAACACTTAAAATATGAATAAAATTGCCCATGTCAAAATAAATAATTACTCCTGTATAAGCTTATATGTATATATAATAATAATAATATATATAAAATAAATATACTTTTCCAAATGGGATTTTTTTCTTATTTCTTAATATATCTCCAATTAAAGCACCAAAACAATAAGTACCAAGATGGGAATAATATGGTTTAAAATAATTATAAAGCATATATTTATAGGATTTCCTAAAATAAGAAATAATAATATAAATTAGTTTATTTTACTAATAATCATCCATTATCAAATAATAAAAAAGTTAAAAGTTTATACTCAGAAGCTGCAGGTATTCCAAGCATCACGTAATATCTGTTCGAAACTACATCAACTATATACATCATAATCCCTGTTAACATTAATACAATTATGGCGAGTCTTCCAAATCTGGGCCATCTGCAAAACGATATTAAATACATAGCAAAGGAATTCAAAATATCAAGCATTCGTTAAATAATAATACAGATTTTCATAGGCATTAATGTTAAAAAACTCCGCTTTATACAAATGGTGGTGACGAGTTTAACGATGTTCTCATCTCGTCACCACTGAATAAATCGACATACGTTTCTGTGTCACACTCGTTTAGACGTCTGAGAAGTCGACTCCCCTCCTGAAAAAAATGAGTTCACACACCACTGTAAGGTGTGTGGTGTTAACTCATTATTTTCTGCAGGGGAGTCGACTTATTAATAATAATAATAAAAATTCCTTAACCTTTAATGTATCTTTGTATATAAAATAATAACAAGTAATCAAAAAAATGTGCAATGTATTTTAACATCACAGAAGAACAGGATTTTGCATTTTCTCACTATTCATTCATGCATTATTTGAGCCGTTTATTTTGAAAATGGGGCAAGTCCAATTTTTTTATTACGAGATATTTAAAGGTTTGCATTTCAATAAATTTAAAAATATTGGTAAGTATTAATAGATATATTTTTAATATTTTGTGGTACCAGATAATGTAAGTTTATAATCCAATAGTGTTTACAGTGCCGACTAAAAAAAGTAAGAGTTTCATTATAACTAAATGGACTTGCCTCACTTTCAAAATTAATGAATTATTGTAATCGTTCATTTAATTGAGAATTTTTTCAGTTGCATCAGCCTCTTTTTAATAATAAAAACAAAATACTATTCAAATTTTTATAAATATTTATTCATTTGATAAAAAGTGAACCAAAACAAAGAATATTCTAGTAGAAGATATAACACAACAAAAGAAAAATTCAGTTTTATTAAGAATTTCAATGAAATTATACATTTTCAGTTTATACGTAGGTATAATTAAATGAATTTTATTCAGGATTTAACATTTTAAAATATTCATGATGAACGGGAGGTATATATGGTAATAAATCCATCATGTCCTTGTATTTTTCAGATGTAATAGATCTCTTTTTTCATACAGAAAAGATAACTTTATATTTTCGAAATTACTTGGTCTTCCTCGTTGTGGTGACAAATCGATAATTTTAAATTCAGTATCTCGTTCTATCGAGGTTTTGTAGAACATTTTGTATGGTGCATCTCTTGTAAATCTGATCCAGCATATATTTAACAAATTCACGATTTCTCCATCGGTATTTTTATTTCTTTTTAAAACTGCTTTCCCCAGATGTTGGGTTGAAAAAATATTTTCGCGTTTCATTTCATATACTAAAAATTTATTATGTTTTCGACAATTTCGTATTAGTTTGTAGTAATCCTGGGGAATATACAAGGAACTGGCTTTCCGGATTGCCATTTCTACCACTCCAAAATCACGATCGTTCGGTAAAAATAAATGTCCTGAAAATAAAAATTTGTGATCAATGATATTTATTTCATTGTCACCAGACTGAACAATTTTCATCCACGTTAAGGCCAACTTTATGTTTCTATTTTGGCCAGTGCACATGTCACTATAAGCTATAATGTTTTTGGGTTGTCACAATCTGTAAGTGCTTCAAACAGCAAGATATTACTTCTTGTGCTCCTCGGGATGCTATAGTTTCATCTCAAATATACATACTAACTTCATCATTATGAACATTGTGGAAGCCTTGATTCAATGCATACATATTCCGCTTATATTTCTCGGTGTTGGAAGTAAACCTATTATTATCGAAACGCAAAATTAAGATATACTTTTTGTTATTTATGAAATATTGTATAACCACCGACTTTCAATATCAAAGATAGATAGATGGAAACACCCTAGATTTCAGACATGATGTGAAACGGTTACATTGCTTCACCATACAGCACCGAAGCTAAATTTTGCCGTAATATATGCGGTCAAAAATAATCTCAATCTAAGATGGACTTGCACCACTTTCAAAATAAACATATTTTCAATACTGTTAAGAGCTAAAACTTCCATCTCCCAAATACTAGAATCTGAATTTTTTTACTGTAAATTGTTTACGCATAAAAAGATCATAACAAGTTTTATCTATAACTACCATTATCTCCATTTTTTTCGAAAATGGACTTGCCCCACTTTCAAAATAAACGGCTCATTTGTAGCAGGTGTTTTACATTTCTGTTAGAAATAAGTATGGGAAAGCTAACAATGCTTACGCCGAAGAAAAAATACGAACTTGTGTCTGAATTTGAATGTATAAATAATAAAACTTTGTAAGCCGAATTTTCAAAACAAGAAAACCTTTCAAATACAACACTGGTGGGAATTCTAAAGAGAAAAGAGGAAATTAAGAAATGATTTTTTTGGCCTTCCACACGACTGTTTCGATAACGCCAGAGAAACTCACCGTACAAAAATGTGGAAGATGCTCTGGTACATTGTCTAAAGCAAATTCGTTCATCGAGTCTTCCTGTATCGAGGCCTGTACCGAAACAACAAGCGAAGGAAATCGCTGAGGAACTTGCAGTAGAAATGAACTTTAGTGCCTGTGATGGATGGTCAAATACTGTTAAAGTCGGATAAAGTTTATTGAACGCCTCAACCGGTAAAACCGATCTAGCATCCGGTACGACTACTCCTATACGGCACCCCTAAAGGATGGGAGTCAAGTCCCCCAGCCCAATTGACAAGCAAGTACCGACCATTCACGAAAAAATTGCCATCATCGTTTGGCCCGAAACCAGGCTTGGCTAATCTAGGCTGGAGTTGAAAGACTCACGCCCTGCTCACCAGTTTAGCGGCGTGGCTAAAATCTGTATGCGGCACGTTTCGATGCTAGGCGAAATTGGTCTGGGTTGAGTCCTATCTTGTCTGCGATGTGCACGTTGACCGCGACTACGTGTTCTGCGTCCTTTGTTCGTCGGCAAACACTAACTGAGAAAGTAATCCAAGCGAATAATTTACTTTATTTGAATCGGCCACGCGATATTTACAATAGTGTCGAGATATAATACAAATCCAAGAACTGCACAGTTGTCGACTCCAAAGGTTAACTAACGTAAAGTGAAAAGCTATCTCTCCTCCTCAGAGAACGGGAGCAAAGTGAGGTCAGAGGGCGAAAGATCACGCGGTGGCGCTTTTTGCCCTACAACTGTATAAAACACTGCTGTATTTTCCAAATTGTAGTTTCGTGAATTTTTCAATTTTGTTTTAATCGTCATATCCGGTAACTTGACACATTTTCATATCCCCTTGGAGTGTCGACTTATGCCATCTCGACTGTATTTAATGTTTTTATAAATACTGAAGGATTAAAGTATTATTATCCAATACCATCTTGACAAATTTTTAGAATTTTAAATGCAACCAAATCTACTTCGATGGGAGATTTATTAAAAAGGAAAAACAATTCTTTAGAAAATTAGTATCAAAACTTATCACTATTAGGCTTCAGGCACTGAAAGCAACGAACATCCTATACGAGCTACCGTATTTCCCCGAAAATAAGACAGTGTCTTATATTAATTTTTGCTCTGAAAAATGCGCTAGGTCTTATTTTCAGGGAATGTCTTATTTTTTCCAGGAAGAAGAATTCACATTTATTATTGAACAAAAAAATTCTCAAGTCGAACTTAGACGAGAGTGACGTATATCCGGTGTGTCGAACTGTCGCCTTTTTATAGCGTCAACATCGGACTCAATAACCAATTAGTGCTTACTGAACCGTAGCACTATGCAAATGTCATGTGGCGTGATTCCCGGCCGACCAATTAGCCATCACCAGCCGTAATGTTATGCAAATCTGTGATTCCCAAGCCATAGTCTGATGCAAATCGTGCCGTGTGGCGTAATTGCCTGCTGACCAATCAGTGGCTGTACTTTCAAAAAGGCAACGGCCACTTTCAACCATCTGTCGATGACCGTTACGACTAAAAAAAACTTCGCTAGGTCTTACTTTCAGGGGAGGTCTTATATTTCGCAATTCAGCAAAACCAGTGCTGGGTCTTATTTTCTGCAAATGTCTTATTTTCGGGGAAACACGGTAGCGACAGTTTGGTAAAGTGTTTGAAAGCTGCCAAATTTTGTAAGTGAAATTCGATAAATTTCACTTTTCGAGTATTACAAAACCTAAAATTACACGAATAAAAATCGAAAACCCAAAAATATTAACAACTATGGGATTACATTCTCCGAAATCTATCACATCAATAAGAATCTATTTCAGACCATTATGAAATAATTTCATACGTCGTCCAAAAAGAAAGATCGACTCCGCCGTAAAGACAGTTTGCCTAAATGTGAAAGGGACGTTAATTAAGATTTAAAAGAAGACATTTTTATGATACTTCTATACATTTAATTTTGTAATGAATTCCATACGTGTTGAAAAGGCAAAATTAGGTACACGTTACGAAAACAAATATTTTTGCAATTATTCACCAGCATCATTTGTACCCAAACATGTTCCATTGGATATTCGCCAGAAGCTTCCTGTCGAGCTATAGAGATGATCCGCTCAAAAATTTTCGTGATCCATATAGCTGATCCAGAGTGGGATCTTCCTATCGTGCCAATTTTAAACAGATAAGAAACTGCTATAAGTAATAGATATGTATATATCCATAGTGCGGGTTTCTTTATATTCCTTTTAAAAAATCAAATTTTCAAAAATATTTCCTCAAAATTGATGAAACTTCATGGGTTAATTCTACAAAAATAACCACTGTTTTTTTGGCTGGACCACATTTAATCAGAGACAAAAGCTTATATTCGTATTCTTTATTTATTTATTTACTGTGCATTTCGGGTGCAATATTTTCGTTTAATTTGCACCCCTTTTCAGGTTTTTTTACATTTCTATAGATTGGTAAATTCAATTATTACATTTGTTATAACGGTAAATTACTACAATAGTTATTTGGATATATTTATAGAATAGTTAACTAACCTGTTTTAAGTTTTAGACCGACATCTGCCCAGATGCGATCCAGGCAAAAAAAACGGTGGTTAATTCTGTAGAATTAACCCATGAAATTTCATCAAGTTTGAAAAAATATTTTTGAAAAATTGATTTTTTAAAAGGAAGATAAGGAACAGTTAGAATCTCTTAGTTGAAACACTTTACTAAAGATTATCTAATCGATTTAGCATTATATCAGGTAATTTTTGTACATAGTACAAAAATAAAGATAAATTTTTATCTATTTATAAAAAATACATTGTCGAATTCTTACCTGTCAACAATACATAATAACAGTGACATTAAGATGGAAAGTTGCAGCAACGCACTGATGAACCATAATACGTTGAAACCCTCCTAAAAATATTTTACAAAGTAGACGAATTAAAAACTAATAAAACTACTAATATTTTATTTGATTTATCTATAAAAGTATCATACACACAAATACAAGAATCATTATACTATAAACTCTATTTATTAAAGCCATTTTTTCTATTACTGTCGCCTCTAAATTTTATCACGGTTTATAAATTAAAATTTTTCCGTTAATAAAATTACTTATTTAAACGTTTTTCATGTTACTTTTTTATTTTTATACAAATTAATAATAATTTATGCAATAAAATAAAATAGAGTTCAGATGTTACTTAGTTTTCTGCACATTACAGTTGAATGTAATTATTAATAAACCTATAAATAGCCTTTTTAAACCGATTACAAAAGAATTTCTCTGAAATAATCCTTATCTAATAATTAAACTAACCATTGGTCTTGATGGTTCAATAATAATGCTTTCTGTTTGCATAATATCACAATTCGATCTGTTTTCTGTGACGTATGAACAGTGCTTATTTCATTAACGTGCAACAAAGGCGGAAAATGAAATTAGACAACAAAGGAATTGCAGAAGCAAAAGCAACCTGCTCTAGCGATACGCTGGTGTTGATCTGCACTATATTTCATTATCGAAAAATTTTAATAATATTTAATTTATCAAAATTACTTCGTAAAGAATGTTTTTATTTGTAAAGAGAAATTAAATATAATAGCTAACTTTAAATAAAACGAATTGAAATGGAATTTTAGACATTTTTCGCATCACAGACAACCACATTTATAGGCCTACTGAATTTTCCCACTGATAAAAGTTGCAAAATTTATAGCAAGTTCCGTTTCTTTTAACAAACAATTGACGTTACAAATAGTCAAATAAAAAACGTCCTAAACAAAACATCGTTATACAAAAGTTTAAAGTGAAAGAGAGTTCAGGAAACCTTAAAATTACCTTTATATTATATGTTACACATTAAAAACATTTGTACCTTAACGATAAATAGCATATATCTAATACATTGGCTTGTTCAAAACAGCTTGAGTGAATGCAAATTATCACGTAATCGTTCATAATGTCTAAAACTTAAATTAAAGACTAAATTTTAACTTTTATACATTTACCGTAGATCCAACGGTTGTGTAAATATGAATATGGGTGACATATTGCCACCATTCGCTTTCTAAGTGTTTTCCCTGATTAATAACAACATCCCAATGAGGACCTTCTCCAAGAAGAGGCAGAAGAATTGCGGTACCCAAAGCGAAGAATATCGGAAGTGTATATCTGCAAGACGAACAAAATATAACACACGAACCAATGAAGTAAGAGTTAAATATTTTACCTGATAATTCGGTTGACTACACGCATGATATAGTATTTCGCAGAGTTTCGTCCAGTTTCTTGTCTCAGATACATTATCATAAACCCGCTAGCCAAAAATTATTATTCATGATTAATTTTAAACAAAAAAGTATTTTTGCCAAAAATTTATAAATGTTACTATTATTAATATGATAGAGAATGAAAATATTCTTGGAAAATTGTATTTATATGTAACATTTAAATTAAAATAATCTTACCTGTAGAAGAAGAATGATTCTATCACAGTGAGGCCTTGGAGAATAATTTCGAATAAAAAAAGTTCCGCAAGCTTGAAGTTANTAAAGAATGTTTTTATTTGTAAAGAGAAATTAAATATAATAGTTAACTTTAAACGAAACGAATTGAAATGGAATTTTAGACATTTTTCGCATCACAGACAACCACATTTATAGGCCTACTGAATTTTCCCACAGATAAAAGTTGCAAAATTTATAGCGAGTTCCATTTCTTTTAACAAACAATTGACGTTACAAATAGTCAAATAAAGAACGTCCTAAACAAAACATCGTTATACAAAAGTTTAAAGTGAAAGAGCGTTCACGGACCTTTCAAATTACCTTTATATTATATGTTACACATTAAAAACATTTGTACCTTAACGATAAATAGCATATATCTAATACATTGGCTTGTTCAAAACAGTTTCTGTGAATGCGAATTTTATCGTAATCATTCATAATGTCTAAAACGTAAATCAAAGGCTAAATTTTAACTTTTATACATTTACCGTCAATTCACCGATTGAGTAAATATGAATATGACTGATATATTTCCACCATTTGCTTTCTAAGAGTTTTGCCTGACTAATAACAACATCCCAATGAGGACCTTCTCCAAGAAGAGGCAGAAGAATTAAGAAGCCCAAAACGAAGAATATCGGGAGTGTATATCTGCAACACGAACAAAATATAATACACGAACCAATGACAGTAAGAGTTAAATATTTTACCTGATAACTCGCTTGACTAAAATCATAATATAGTATTTCGCAGAGTTTCGTCCACTTTTTTGTCTCAGATACATTACCATAAACCCGCTAGTAAAAATATTATTCATTATTAATTTTAAACGCAGAAGTATTTTTGTTAGAAATCTATAAATGTTACTATTATTAATATGATAGCGAATGTAAATATTCTTCGAAAATTGTATTTATATGTAACATTAAAATTAAAATGATCTTACCTGTAGAAGAAGAATGATTCTATCATAGTGAGGCCTTGAAAAATAATTTCGAATAGAAGAAGTTTCGCTTGCTTGAATATATTGGTATATTTTTCTTTAAAATATAATTATTGTTATTTTTTTTATAATGGATAAATATAAAATATGTTTTGTATGAAATATCAGTTTTATTAATTGCAATATAATATGTATTAACTAGCTGTACTCGCGGCTTCACCCGTGCGGCTTTTGCAATTTGATAAAAATAACCCTGTCACAAATTAGTAATTCCGTAGAATTACTGATTTGTTTTTGTTTCAAACTATAGCACGCATTAGAATCACTTCGGTGATATTTATTGTTTCTTTCATAGAACTGTCTTTACATCTTGCATATGATATAATTTGTATATATTTTATGTATATACATATTTATATATATATAAAATGTACATAGGTGTACTAATATATAAAAAATATACATTAGTACTCAAAAAGTACAAAACTAATGAAAAAGGAACGACCACTAAACCAGAATAAGTAAACCAGATTTCAGAAATGAACATATGCGTATCACCAATACTGAAACACTTTGCAAGTATTTGCAGATTAATTTCACAGAAGATTTGGAGGTAGAAAATTGCAACTGACAAAGTGAACGAAGGAAAAAAATCGTGACAAAAATCATCGAATTGATTGCACGTATGACAAGAATTCAACCGTTAACTTACGGCGTAACATGAAGTTCAACCGATTGTTCAGTATTAGAGAAAACGATTTCCACTATTTAATAGAATGATTTCCCCTAATTACAGAAAAATTAGTATGTCGCTCCAGCGAACAATTATTCAATTTATTATTGCGAAATGTGTAAGTTTCGTGTCACAGAAGATTCGAGATGTTCTGTAAATATTTTTCGTTGCATCGTACCGTAGTTGGCAAGTTAAATAAAAGAAGGAGATACAACCCAAAGGAAAAACAATAAAAACAGTGAGACTAAGCATGCACTGATTAATCGGTAAGTAATAGGTAATCGGCCATATCGGTCATTTTCCCGGTTAATCGGTTTTAATAATCGGCCAATTTTGCATTTTAATAGTTTTGTTAGCATGTCATATATAAAGGACAATAAATTTCTGTTATATATTTGTTATTTAATGAACACTACTTGAAACTATAAATATTAAAAAAAATAATAACTAAAATTATTTATTTCATCAATACATATCATAAGGTATAATATAACCTGTTCAAAACAATCTGTATTATTTAAAGTTTAAACTTTAAATATGTAAAACAAATAGAAACTTTAAAACCCTTAAACTGTAATACAAAAACATGAGAATTTCTCCATTTTCAGGGCCCTTAAAAAGTTACCTCTAAGTCTGAAAATTCTTTTACTTTCAACGGAAGATGCTGGAAGACTTAGATATTTTGCTCAAATTAGAAAAAAATTCTTTTGAACTTCTCTACCACAAAAATGGCTGCTAGGTCTTTGTATAAGAGGTAAATGTAAATATTTTTCTAATTCTTCATCGAAACGTTTGTTCGCTTGTTTCGTTTTTTATTTCTTTTTAAAAACATGCTCTTATTCATTCTTTCATTCACCAGAAGTAATTCCTGAAATAAATTTAAGAAACTTAGAGATTATCCTCCATGTTAATCGTCTCCAGAAGTAAAAGCTTCAGAATTTAATTCTTCTTGAGATTTTGAATTATCAACATCATCTAAGTTACGGATTGTCCATCTTTTTATTTCCACTACCATATTTTTTTTTTTTTTTTAATTTTCATGATAACATTTTTCCAGATGATTTATCACGTGTTTGGTGGCGAAAGTTTCATCATTTTTTCCATCTCTCGAAATAGAAGACTGGCATAAATTGCACTTGGAAAACTTCTCGTTTTCATCTTTCTTAAAAAATTTCCAAGCAATACAATTAATTAATTGATAATTAATATCCAAACCCAAGCCATGAGGGGTTTAGATTTAATTATTAATTAAAATTAAAAAGTTTATTAAAATAATAATTTATCATTTTAATTTAATACATGAATCTAAAAAAGAAAAAATATTTTCATGTTAAAAGTTATTCATATAACAAGTTGTTATAAAATTATTTTTATCGAATGAAATTTTATGTTTTTATTAATAATATGTAATTTAATGCGATAATAAAATCATAATATAATTAACTATTAAAACAATAAATTATTAACACTAATCGGTAATCAGTCATTTTGCTTATTAGTGCATCCTTAATTGAGACTATAATATAGCGCTTTATGCCCTTATCATCTTTCGATTTTGATCAAACAATATTAATTATACAAGAAGTTTTACTAATATTAAAATTCTCTTTTTAATGGATAAAAATAAAAATCTAATTATGTCCATCACCATTTGCTTGAAATACTGTATATATATACTTTATACTGTAGGTATTTTTTCGAAAATTGGAGAAGTCTAAACTGTAAGCATATAATATACAAAACATAAAATTTTAATTTGCAGATTCATGAAGATTGCAAAAGTCACCCGGAAAAGCCTGGTAAAAGTTCATCCAAGAATAATATGTAAGAGAGTGTGTGTCACAAAAGAGTAATTGCCCATATTGTAAATTCAGCATTTCTGTACATTACTGTATACATTAGATAAAGCAGGTATAATTTACACACCCACCGACAACATGGATATTAGGAAAACACAAATGCGACCATCGCATTTGTTTCTTATATCGAATACTTTCTATTCCCCCTGTATTTAATTTCCCGTATATCGAATACTGGGAGGAATGTAAGTCTCGTAGCAATTTTGGTTTTAACTGGAATTGTAAAACATAAGGCCGTGGAAGACTCGTACAACTCGAAATTATCTCTGTCCTTTCGAAGTGAGTATTGTTACGACAAGAAAAACGCATTTCCCAGAATATTTTTAATAACGGATAACGTAAAATTTCATCACTCTGACATTGTTTCGATGATACTTGACGGAGCAGTCCACAAGTTACAAATTCCGTACGTATCGCAGCTTATTTCTTTAAATAAATACTTCACTGCATTTAAAAGCAGATCTTACAATGTTTTTACCTGTTTGTGAAGGTTATTCCCCAGAGAGCATATAATGCATTATCGTTAGTATAACTTCATCGAACACTAATTGCTAATATCTTACTTCTGACAGATTAAAAAAAAATCCGTTTATGTAATGTACGACTGCTTTTATATAAGCGAAACACTAAATTTTCGAACTCGGAATAATAAATAAACAATACATAGTTTGATGTAGACTTGTCTGTTACATAAATTTACACAAACGACAAAATAAAAAAATGGAATAATTCTTTCGACAAGACCATACTAATCTGTCATTTCGTTAAAATGTAGAAATGGTGTTCTATATTCTGTACAACGAAGTTGTATTTCCTGCCACGACATACGTTAGAGCAGTGATTCTTAACCTTTTTATACACGCGGCCAATCACATATTTCATAATTTTTGTGACTGCAATTTTTTAATATTAATTCATATTCGTTAAATTATCTATAATAAAGTAATACAAAAATCAATTTATTTTTTTATATAATAAGTGTAAAACATAACTTTATTATTTCATTATCTATTTTCTTCACTATATTTTTTGTTTGAAGATCCTGGTCCGCGATTACTTGGGCCTACATTAAAAAATTTTTTAATGCGTTTTTCTGTTTTTTCTCAATTTTATGGGTTAATTATGAATAAATAAAACTGGACACACAATATAAGAAAGAAATTCAATATAATTCGATCCAAAGTCGATACTAAAACACTCACAACTTGTCGTAAAGGTTTTGCATATCTTTTCGAAAAACATTTAAATTTTTAAAGCCTACTATTGTTCGTAATTATTTTTAAAATCTCAGGCACTATAAATTTCTTAGGATTACTTTGAAATAAAAGAAGTAAATACTGCGAAGTAAGTAGCATATTTGCATTTATTTCGTCGGTACTAACAAAGTCATATGTAATAAGAAATAACATAAATAAAGTTTTCGTACTGTATTTAGTTGTTTTATTATCTTTCTTTTTTCAATTTTCAATTTTCAATACGATATTCGATTATACGTCGATTTTCTTTTTATTACATTCAGAAGAAACTTATGCATAATTTAACAGCCCCCTGACAAGAAACACTTTTGTAACTTCATAAAAAACTTTCTTTAGTAATTGTTTTGAATCTTAATTTATGACGCGCAGCAAATTGTCAATGAATTAATGTGTGAGATAAAGATTAAAAAAAAAATATATGTATATAAAAAAACTTTAATTTAAAAATTTTCCGTATATAATTCTTAATAAGTTAATAAAAAATATTATCTTATTATTTTTATAAAATGAATATTCCTTTCTTCTGGCGAAAGAAATCTAAATAATTATCATCGCATGTTCGTAACATAATAAAAAAACAGGGTTAAACTAGAAATTTGTCATTTCATAATACGATACACTACCTTTCAAAAACGTAGTTGAAAGTGATAATATAATTACATTTTCTATATTAACTATGATAATGAATTAATTAAGCAATAAAACAATTTAAATTGGCAACTTCTTGCATACATTATGGCATAAATATTTATAAATATTAAATCATATATCTTATAGTAAAATATAAATACCTCCTATTGTGGTGAAAAATATTCCTGCAATGCCTACATGTCCCAACACCACAATATTTATCAAAAAAAATTTTACACCGCAGATCGATTTTGTACTCTCGTCGAGATTCGTCGAATATAATTTATGTAGAGATTTGTAAGGTGAAGCTCCGAGAATATACTCAAAAAATCTACCTAAAAATAACAAACAATATTATTCAGGTGCAATTAACTGATAAAAATACATTTATTTTATAATCATTTTTATGAACTATTCATAATATATTCGAAAATAAGAGCATTCCAGATCATTTCCCTTAACTTTATAATAATAATAGGTAAATTCTCACCCTTAAATATGTAAAAAGACTGTTTTGATATTTTTAAACACTTACCTTCACTTGCCTTCAAAGGAATAATATGAAGTCTCATTAATATTTCTGTTAACGTTGCCAATCCTACCCATGCAATAAACATGCCAAGGACAATTCTAAATTAATCAATTAATATTTTCATATCAATTTACTGAAATATGTTTTATATCATTTAACAATTAATTAAGTAACTATTACTGTAATTATATCTGTTTGAATGTAAGAATATAAATATGATTTATGGGTACATAATAACTTGAGAGCTATATTATATTATTTATAAATGTCTTAAATACTTGCTTAATGAAGACTTTTTACTTGTGAATCTTTACACTTTAGTTTAGTTTATCGGTGAAGGATTGTAGTGAGACTTAGCCCATGTAATAAAATAAGAGAAGAAGAATAAGGAGGGTGTGTAGTAAAAGAGGAGAAGAAGAGAAAGAAGTTGAAATCTTGGAAGGATGAGAAAAGGTAGGATTTCATAATTGACTTGCATGGCAATGATTAAATATAATCCTGACACAAATATACAGTACAAAGCGGCATTTTGGCTGATGGACAATTATACATACTGAAATCACATTATCAAAAATCTTACTAATACACCTTATCTTGCAGCCGAAGTTTATTGCTTCTAACGTTTTCAGTCTTGTTAAACCGAAGACGTTTAACAAGACCGAAAACGTTTCTCAAGAAAAATAAAGCAAATAAAAATAACAAAATGTATAAGTCGAACGCTTAGTACAACGAACAAGCTTTTCGAATATTTTTGAACTAGCCTATAATTCGTTGCAATTTATGACGTCATTTTTAACTTTGCAACGGAAGTATAAAAATCCTAAAGATTACATAAATATCTAAATACGAAGAGTTACCATCTCCGAACATCACTCATAAATACATAGCTTAATATAAAACATAATAATCGAGAGAAGCAGTTACTATTTATCTTAAGCTAGAGGCCCATGCTGCCGATATTTTTGTCGATTCTCGAATTTTACATTGTGCTGGAAGAGAATGTGGAAGGAATTTTAAACTAAATAATTGTCCATTGACCAGGTTTAGGAGAGAGCAAGAGAAACCAAATTCATTCTTAACACTATAGATAAACGAAAAATTAACACGATAGGATATCTATTAAGACGTTCAGGTCGAATAAAAGTATTGTTTGACTGAATGATAGAGAAAAAAGAAGTTAGAGGTCAACCTAAAATCAAATATTTGGTTGTTGTAAAAGGCAGAACACATTACTCGATTCAGTTCAATAATTCTTAAAATAAGAAGAAAAGAAAAAGCAGAAGCAGTCGATGATTTAAAACAAAATATTTAAAGTACAGTAATCAAGACAAACGATGCGCATTCAAATAGAAAATAAATTTCTCTTTAATATCATGTAATGCGCTTCAGAATAAAATAGATTCGATTGGCTATTTACTTTGTTAAACTTATTTTTTCCTTAGATTATTATCGTGTTTTTCACGAAAAGTTTACGATTTAAAATCATATTTTATATCGCATCGTCAATTTGCCGAATTTTTCGGTAATTTAAAGTTCTTTTCATAATTCCCAGGTTATAAATTTCATTCAATCAGTTTAATAAAAATATACTTACAACGATATCAATTGTCCGTTACTGTATTTAATACGTTCATCTTTGATTTTGCAATATCCGACGTTAAAGTCTACCGCTGTCCCGAATACTGAAAAGTAAAATAAAGAACGTAATTAAACATTTAAACAATTACATAAATTAATTTTCCAAAGTAACAATTTAATTTATAGCTTGTCTAATTTTCAATTTATCAGAAAAAATGAGGTTCGAATGCATTTTTTGTAAAATCAAATTTAACTAAAAGAAAAAAAGTATTTTAAGTAAGAAAAGTCGATCTACCAATACCGTTACTCCCTGCAGTGGAAAAAATTTTAATTGGAACTTTTTTTCTTTAAACACATCTGAAACATTCTTTACAAATTATTAAGAGAATCTGCCATTGATGGGCACTCCATACATTACAGTTACGACTTGCTTATATAAATAGCATAAAAGCAATCTCCTTTTTTATATAATACAATCTAACTCTTGCTAATCCGAACTATTTATCACAAAGAGTTTACAAATTACTGACTACTAGTTTGTAAAATTCTTTATACTGAATTACATATTTATATCGACTTTAAAATACATACTATATATAAGTACTGTAATAATTTTACAAAGTTATTATGCTTCGTTAGAATGATTTTGTGTTGTTTCGGCTGAATACAATAGACAGAATTGTTTAAGTTCGAACAGACAGTTGATTAAGGCATGTTCGGATTTACAAAAGTATTTTATATAATTAAAAAATATCAAACGACTTACTCCAATTCCCAACGTTTCTTAAGTCTTTATCACTGCATGTACTCGGAATGCAAACATCCATACGTATTTCCATCTTTGTATCGACTAAATCTGTTTTCAACGTATCTTCAAACCTTATTGGTTTCTATAAAATTCATTAATTCGTTGTATAAATAAATTTAACTGGCAAATTACACTAAAATGTACTAATTCATCGCAAAATTTTTCTTTAAACTTTAATACTTACAATAATCTTTTTTGCAAGTTTAATCAATGAATTATTTTCCAACTTATGAATCGACTTTGCAATACGTTTCAGTGATTCTTGCATTCCAATTGTCAGGGCACAGTACTTGCCTCGAACCTGTTCCTTTCCTTTATCGGTAAGCTCCTTTCTATTTTGAGGAATTTTTATGTCCAAACACTGGTCATAATCTCCCGGTATCCATAGTGTTACTCCTAACATTCCTGCCGGTAACTTTCCGAAAGAATCAATCACTGGAAATAGTAAATACATACAATTAAGTAAACTTATCTTTATGTAAATCATGTTTTGAAAAAAACAAATCGAAAAAGAAAAAAATTATATTTTTCCGTGGAGATTCACCGTACAGAAAACCTTCGATACATGCGGTTAATCTCTGCCCGAAAAATAGCGCATACGTGAAATCGCAAATATGAATGCTAAAAATCAACCGGAAATAAATGAATTTTCAAAGTGTCTGAAACTGTAATTTGTACGTTTAAATTCGACTGGAAAGAACGGAAATTTGACCGGAAAAAGAGACAATGATGACTACCAAAAATTTAAGACAAAGTACATCGTTAATGACGTTAAAGATTAAGAAGTGGTGTTTCAAATAACAACTGCAAAAAACTACGTAATTTTTCCGGTCGTTATGAGATTTTATTATAAAAACATTTTATATTGTTAATTATTATAAAATATCAAAACGCTTGCATTTGAGAAAAGTGATAAATTTCATAAAAGATTTTAAATGCTAATAACGAGTTAAATTATTAAGTCCGATCCATCTCAATGTATGAGACGTGACCGCCTATCTGTCAGTATTAACCATTAGCAATCAACAACTTTTGTATTATCAATTTTATATAATTTTTAATTTAGTGTCATAATGCCAAATTTCGTTATTTGAAAGGATTCCAATACTTTTACTTATTTTGTACACATAACGACCGGAATAGTACAACAACAGAAAAGAAAATTTTTTAAACGTCGTAAAATATTTATTTAGCGTGATCCTCACTGTTGCTGCCTCTACACTTTTCAGTAAAAGTTAAAGAATTAAAACAGAAACTACACTAAATGTACTAAATAAGATTACTGAGCGAAAACACGGAGTTTCATATTCAGTCGTAACCAACGTTCAAAATGAGTAAACAGAGGTTATAATTGCCGTGTCGAAGGAATAACGTTCAACCTACCTGCAAACGATGCGCATTAACTGAATCGGCATTGATCGAAACCGTATATATCGAGGGTTAAGGTTATTACAAATCAAACGGATCAATAAAATTAGTGAAGTGTATGAAATACCTAAATAATGTGGATTAGTGCGGAATGTATACGGCGCAAGAATAATTACTGTGGGGTCCCAAAAAACGGGTTTTAATTAAACATTTATATTAGAAATTTATTAAACAAAACTAGAGAAGTAAAAGAACCTTTATTGATAAAAACCGATCAAAGATAGAATTCAGTTGTCACATGATACCGAGACGAGAAAAAAATACTATTAATGTAAGACGTGACGAAATAAATGTAAACGGGTGTCCTCCAGTCGAGAGGGAACTTTAACAAGGCGCTCGTATACAAATAATTAGAACATAAAAAGTTTTGGAAAAGGGGGAAAGGTTAATAAAAAAATTAAACATCAGTTCAAATCGTTAGAATTTTAAGAAGTAATAGACTAGACAACAATGGAGTAAAATAAGCTTAAGTTCAAAGTCCCATCTACCCCTTTCATGCAAAGTTAACGAATAGTGTCGGGTAACTTCCCAGATGCGAACCTTCTCGAGACCCGAACAGGTCTCGTATTTCGCTTAGGAACAAACGTAAAGTCAATCAGGATGGACAAAAAGGGACGAATCAAGATTAATGTAATTTCCTATTTTCAAGGATACGAGGCACTCGGCAATACAGATTCGGCGAGTCAACAGAAAGGAGAAAAAATTGAAAGCGCTGTGTCAACACACTGAACACGAATCTTTCTTAGTGTAAGCTTTGTGTTTATTTATATGCTAAAATAAACGGATTTTTGTAAGATACCTGTCATCTCTGTCTTCTCCTCCACACCAACACGCGAACCACCCTAGATCATTCTGACGCGGGATTAACGATCCCCTAATGTGTGTTTCACACTATGACTGACTGGACCGACTAGTCTGAACCAACCGATTTTATAATCGGACCGACTAGTAGTAAAAGCATTCGAACTAAGTACGATTATAAGTCAGTGGCCGACTCATAAGGACCAATCAGAACAATAAAATAGCCAATCATGGTAAGTTTTTTAAATTAAACAGAAAACATGGCCGTCACGGAAAGCGATCGTGCATTTCGATATATCGCGTCATTATTACATTATTAGATTAGTCAATCACGTACATTCAACGTTTAGTTTCTTGGAAATCTCCGTCCAAAAATTATTTTTTTATGTTGTCTTTATAATATCATAAAGCACGGATATGTTCTTACTTCGATTATTAAAGCTTCCGAGAAATCTATAGTTTCCGCCATTTTCTAACTTCGAC